GACAACGAAAGTGTGGCCATCCCTTGGCGCAAAGGTGATGTTTTACTGCTGGATAATTTGGCCGTTCTTCACTCCCGGAATCCATGTGCCAACCTCGCAGAGTCCTAGCCGCCCTCTGCAAGTAGACTAGTTAAATTAGCTGTATCAAACAACTTATCATATGTATCTGTATTATAGTATGTCGTGCTTACAAAATTTATAAAATAAAAAGCAAGACTGTTTTTGGAGGAAAAAAAAAAAGTAAGACTGTTTTTGGAGGAAAAAAAAAGAAGCAAGAGTGTTAGAACTTGGACTTGTTTGGTTGCCAAGAAAAAGACAGAAGTAAAGAAGAATCCTATATGCTTGCTTTGTGTATCTTTCTTTTTTGCCCTTTTTAATTGCAAATCGTTTTTTTTTTTATATCAAAGTTTGATTTTTTTTTTTTTTTTCAAACGATAAATTTGTTAGGTTAAATGTTAGATTAGGGAGCTGACATGTTGAGGAAAGATTAGAGTTCACAACTCTTAACACAAGTGTTGGAGAGACAACACAAGTAAATAAATTATTTGTATTACACACACAAAATATTACAACACTCACAAGGACACAACTTTAGAAGCTACAGACACTCACTCACTTTTAGAGACACACTCTAGACCACTCACACTCTTCACAAGACTACTCCTACTTCTCACTCTCACTTCGTTGCCTACTTGCTTCCTACTTGGCTACTTTCTTCTTGATTGGTTGATACAAATGGTGTGGTTGCCTTCTCCTTTTATAGGCATGGATGGAACCTTGGAGAAGCATGTAAACATCATGCTAGAGATATCTAGATAATTTCACTAACTTCCTAAGCTAGAATTATCTACACTGATCTTGCATGTTGATGGAAACCTCACCATTCTTCTAAACTCTTCCACCAACTTAAGAAACAACCTTCTAGTCCTTTCTTCAAAGGACTACTTTAACTTGGATAATTTAACTAACCAACTTTAGTGAATGTTCTAGAATTCTTTATTCTAGATTTGTGTAGGTCTTTCAATGAGATGGGGTTGATTTCTTTAACATGACATGATTCGAACCCATGCCGTAGTGCAAGGGCAAAGTTTGATTTGTATGCATAGAGAAATGAATGAGAAAAGTCTGTATTTTTTTTTATTATGTTTTTCCAAGTGAAGGGAAAACTTGAGTGGATGTGCCAAATGTATATGTATCAGATAAACTGAGGTGTCCTGAACCTGAGGAATAAAAAAATACTTGTAAGATGTTGCAATAGACCGGCAGAGTAGAATCTTGTTGCTACTTGTTTTTGGAGGCCTTGCCTTCGATCTTCTTGGATTTATTGCAATCTTATACATAGCCAGATGCATGGGTTGGCGGAGGATGTGGCAACGCTTTTGACACTAGGATTCTGATGGTTGTAGAACCTCATAAACTTGGAAACTAAGGGATGGTTTGGTATTACTGTGCTTTGAAAAAAAATTGCTTCTGCTGTGCTGGGAGAATAAACTCATTTTTGCTGCTTCACGTTTTCAATTTTTTTTTCACCAAAAACTATGAAAATAAGTTGTTTTTAAGTGTTTACCAAACACTTTTTTGAGCTCAATTTTTTTTATACCCACTTTTTATAAAAGCACATCAGTACCAAACCAGTATACTAAGAGTTGTGGGAGAGCGAGAGCATTCTGGGATCCTCAGAAACTTGCACGACTCTAACTCTGAAGTTTTCGTCTTCACTTTCGCCGGTATTACTTTTGCCCCTGAGAAACCGCCACCCACCATCAGCGATCGGCTTGCCCTAGGCTCCTAGCGGCTTCTCTACCACCATCGAAACTCACTCTACGTAAACTGCTGCGCTGCTGCTTTATCAAACCCTATAGATCGATCTATGCTGCTTCTCTCTCTCTCTCTCTCTCTTTTTTTATGCGATGCGTATTTCATTGGATAGGGGAAAGGTGGAAAAATATGACAGTGAGGTAAATTTAGCAGCACTTTTTTTTTTTTTTTGGTCCTTAAATTTCATTTTTCAAGAGGATAGAATTGGTATCAAAATTCTAATTGAGAAATGGGTGTGAAGATAGGACACTGGGATGAGTTTATCAGTCCTCTAAATGAATGTCTTACTTTACCTCAAAAAAAAATTTGCTTGTAATGCATATTTTTAATAGGCTTAATTGTTGTTATAATCCCAGTTCTATACACCTGAATACATTTTTGACCCTTGAAATTTAAAATTAGAACTGTGATCTTCCAATTAAGTTATGTATCGTTTCACTCTTGGTTCTTTCTATTTTTAAGTTAAATTTAAGGGTGAGCTCGGGATCACATAATACTACGGTCTATGAGTATTCTTCTTCATTGGTAAGTAAGAAGTCTTAGGTTTGATTCTCACCAAATGCAAATTAGAACAACATTATTGCAGCTTATTGTAAGGCTTAGCCCACTCTCACACCCTATTATTGTAGATAATATCATTTGTTCAAAATACAAATAAAAAAGATAGCTCAGGAATTCAATCCAAATCATTATAAAATAAATAAAACTAAGAAACTATAGTAAAATACAAATGAAAAAGGCTTTTTTTTATTAGCACCCCACATAATATTGAATATACCCCACATTAAAAATTAATAAATGATTTATATACCCTATTATGCAATGACAATTTCAACCTTATAAGGTTTAAAAAAAAATTAAAAATACTAAATACACCCCAAATCACTTTTAACATGTATATCACAAGATTATTTATCTTCTTCAACTCTCTAGACCACTCTCACTCTCCATTGTAGAACAAAAGCCTAACCGATAAAACTACAAACACATTGATTGAGAAAAATTATTTTTGACGAACTGAACATAAAATTGACGTTTCGGAAGCTTCACCTTGTTCAAAATGTACTGTTACAGGTGGATTAAGTTTAAACTTCATTGGTGTCAAATTACTGTCTTCCCCTTCTTTCGCAAAGAAGATAATGGTGATGCTGTTTCACAAAAGCCATGTTCTAAAAATAATCTAATGATCAGATAATACTAAATTGCATTTGTGCCTTCAAGAGAGACATTTTTGTATTTACAGCATGGTGTTCGCGTATGATATGTGATGCATAAAATATCATTTAGTGTGCATCTCAACCAACGCCAATACTTTACATTGCCGAATTTAACTACCAAATGGACATAGAGAGCCTAAGCTCCTCACATCATCATCTTATTTCCTAAATTATCATTTTTGAGATGCACCCCCTTCGTAGATCAATGGTGATTAGATGGAAAAAGGTTAAGGAAAAAAATTCAAATAGATTGCTCTCACCATTTATGCTCTTAACCCTCTTTATCGTGTCGAAACTTTTGCCCTTTCACTTTTGTAAGGTTCCCCAAAGTAGCTTCTACTTTCCTCTATTTGAATCCTCTGTAGTAGCAAGAAAATACTTGTATGACATGAATGATTTTGTATCAAATGGTACATGGCACAAAAAAAAAAAAAAAAAAAAAAAGAACGAAATCATTGTGAAGAGTGTGGGGTGTATGAAGAAAAGTGGGGTGAACGGAGAAAATGTAAGGTTTATGTTGAGTGTGGAGTGTGAGGGTATTTATGGAAAAGTATGTGGGGTGTATTAAGAAAAATTTTAATTGAAAAAGCAAATGTGCGGTTTATTAAGTATGTGAGGTGTATTCAGCAACGTGTGAGGTGTTAATATAATAAGCCATGAAAAATGAAATAGAATTCAGCGTTGTTGTTGCCTTCAATCTATCGCACCTGAAATTTATTTTCAGTTTTATTTCTTCCATTATTAGTTTATTTTATCAGTTGTGATTTGAAATGAATTTATGAGTTTACCCTGAATTTAACGGAGAAATTGACGTAATTAAGAAACGACCAAAATTGTAATACAACACTTAATTGAAGGACTATAGCTGCTAATTTTGAAGTTTAGGACTAAAATGTGATTAGGAGTATAATTCAGGGGTCATAACAATAGATAAACATCTTTTAAATAATATGGCTTAAATCCGTAGTTACTTTGAAATTCTTTATCCAAACACATCCTATATGAATACAATGTTCTTTCAAGTTGCAAAACATGTCATTTTTAATTGCTTTATTGTCATGGTGTCTTACAACGGGTTGTTTCAGTATCCAGAGTACCCATCCAAGATGTTTTTCTTATGTGAAATAGAGCGTGTACGTGGGGGAAAAATTCCCATTGTTCTAAACCACATTGTGTACGAGAGGATGAAAGACAAGCACCCCAAAAATTGGAGGACCATGGCTTGATGTTGATGTATACCAAGGTTATGGGCCAAGATTACGACCCTTCTTTTACCATAGGCCGTGGCTGGAAGTTCACATTTGGGACCGAAAACACTAATTACTCTTTCTTACTCGCCACTTTCCTTTTCAAAAGAGTAATGTTAGAAAAATTAAATTGGCAAACTAAATAATGAGTCATCACTAAAAAATGAGCACGGTTTACAATGTATAAGTAATAATCCATATCATATATTTTCAAAATTTAGTCAACAAATTTAATCTTCCTAATATTACTCTTTTCAAAAATACCCAAATCAAATTTCATCGAAATGATATTATTTCCATAGTTGACCATCATTAGAAAGACGATGCACCAAGTAGTCAAGAAGAACAAGAGAAACATCGCAGCGGAGGGAGAGTAAGGGCTGTGGATGAGATCATGAAAAGCACGGCTACTATTTTTTTTAGGGTTTTAACTCAAGGGTAGCCTTGAACTTTCACACAGACTTTCGGTTAAGATTTATGAGAATTGAAAATTGTTGGCTAAGAAGAAGGGAAATTTTAACGAAAAGCTTCCGGTACAGTTTATTTTAATAAAAAATCATATTTTTACATTAAAAAATCAATCATAATACTATTCATTTTACCTTTTATTTTATCCTTATCGTTAAAATTCAAAATTTTCAAATTTTTTTCATTAGTTTTCCTTAAGAATAGATTATATTGGTGGAAAAAGTGGCTATTTATCTAAATATCTCAGGGGATAATTATAATTTGAATCGAATCTGTCGGCAGAGTGAAGCGCACAGCATGGCATTGACAATGGTGGAGATCCCAGAGCAAAAGCTTTACGACGGAAATCGATTCCCGGCAGTTATATCTCCGACTCCGACTCCAGCAGCAGCTGCTACTCCTGGTCTCACAGAAACCATCCAAGCGAACAAACAGTATATACAGGATCAGCTCCGAAAATCCGGGGCCGTATTCTTCAGGGGGTTTCCTGTAAATACAGCCTCAGACTTCAACGACGCCGTGGAGGCCTTCGGCTACGAAGAGAATCCTTATGTTGGAACTGCTCCTCGGACCAAGATCGTGGGTCGGGTTTTTACCGCCAACGAGGCCCCACCCGATGTCAAAATTCCGTTTCACCACGAAATGGCTCTGGTAAGTGACAACTATATAGTGCATTTCAATACTTTTCTATTGCTAACCAGGGAGCGAAGAGTCCTAAATTATTAAAATAATTTAAGGATGGGAGAGCTTCGAGCCGGAATAATAGTTGGAAACTCAAAACCCTATTCACTAGGATATTGAATCACATATAAGATATGTATAATGTTCTTTCAAGTTGCGGAACGTGTCGTTTTCATTTGTTTTCCTTGTGTGATGCTTATGACGCGTCGTTCAGTATCCAGAGTACCCATCCAAACTGTTATTCTTTTGTGAAGTAGAGCCTGTAAGTGGGGGTGAAACTCCCATTGTTCTAAGCCACATTGTGTACGAGAGGATGAAAAACAAACACCCGCAATTTGTTCAAAAATTGGAGGACCATGGATTGATATATACCAAGATTATAGGCCAAGACGACGACCCTTCTTCTGCGATAGGCCGTGGCTGGAAGACCACATTTGCGACCGAAGATAAGAACATGGTTGAACAAAGGTATTTATTTGTACTACTACATACTGAAAAATGACTATGAAAAGACGGTTACATAACGATAGGACTACATATTGGCAGGGTTTCTAAGGAGGGGTTTAGGTTGGAATGGTTGGAGGATGGAGGAGTGAAAACAATCAAGGGACCGATCCTGGGCATCAAATGTGACAGCAGCACAGGGCAGCGCAAGACTTGGTTTAACAGCATCGTGATAGCATATACAGAGTGGAAAGGAGATGCAAGAAATGAACCTGAGAAGGCTTGTCACATTCGGGGATGGCAGCCCGTTGGCAGCAGATATCATCTACGACTGTCAGAAAATTCTTGAAGTTGAAAGTGTGGCCATCCCTTGGCGCAAAGGTGATGTTTTGCTGCTGGATAATTTGGCCGTTCTTCACTCCCGGAATCCATGTGCTACACCTCGCAGAGTCCTTGCCGCCCTCTGCAAGTAGACTAGCTAACCAGCTGTATCAAACAACTTATCATATGTGTCTTCGTATGTATCTGTATAATAGTATGTCATGCTTACAAAATTTGTGAAATAAAAAGCAAGAGTTGAGTTGTTGTGTTAGAACTTGGACTTGTTTGGTTGCCAAGAAAAAGACAGAAGTAAGAAGAATCCTATATGCTTGCTTTGTGTATCTTTCTTTTCTGCCCCATTTAACCTTTTTTCTGGTGGTGTAAGATAATCCCACAAGTTGAACCCCTCATTCCTCTTTTAATTGCAAATCGTTTTTCTATCAAAGTTTGATTTGTATGAGAGATTTATTTCGAATAAGGGTAATATGGAAGTATGAGGACATGAACGGAATTTCCAAAAAAGGGGTTGTCTTCTCCAAGGTAACTAGGGTTGCTATTTACGGAAATGGATCATCTCCGATGCTTTCCATCAAGTTCATCAAGGTTACAAATTCAGGTTTTTGAAATTTGATCCAATAGCTACAAATAAAAACTTATTTTAAAAGTTATAATAACTTTAGCCGTTAAATCAAATTTTAAAAATCTAAATTTATGACTTTGATGAACTTGATAGAAGGGATCTGGGGAGAATCCTTTCCACTGTTTACATAATATTTTATCTGATAACTTGGGAGAATATGAAGAATTAATCCAAAAAAGATTGCAAACGAAGCCAAGAGAGAAATTTAAGGTACATCAGAGAAAGCAAATAAGCTTGCAATCAATTAAAATTGCATGGCATGTATAATTAGTATATTCAATGTCTGATCAAGACTAACAAACATGTTCAAAGAACCGGGGCGAGGAAAGGGGGAGAGTGGTAGAATAGCATTTGATTTGGTTTCAGAAGAGAGAGAGAGATAGAAACAGAGACGAAAAAAGAGAAAATTCAAACGAGTTGGATACAAATTTGACATTCGCAAGGACACACTCTCTCTCCCCCTTCTATTTGGTTGTCTACAACTCTCTAATCTCCCTCTGTAAACTGAAAATCAGTTTGGAGAAAGAGGAATCCGTACCAGTTTGAGATGATTTTGGACGACAGGAGCAATTTGACAGAAATTCGGAAAAAACTACGAAAAAACACATGGAGGAGATTGGTCAGTGTAGGAGAAGAAAGTGAGTTCGTGTCCCTTTTTTGTATGCGTTGCGGGGGAGGAGTGATCCGTTGCTCACTTTAAACGTGCGGTATGAATAAAACACAGACATTAATAACTGAGAAATTAGAATTATGGAGGAGGAATAAAACTCAATTAACCACAACAGAAATTGTGTTACCGACTTTGTCAAGGGACCAGTTCTTGTTGGTTTTTTGCCAATTTCATCTTCTCCCCAAGGCTCCAGCAAAACAATTCAATTTGTTCTCTTCAGATTCTTTTATTTTGTGTTTTATTCACATCTCCTCCCGCAAAACTGCTTCATATCCCACGTTTGCTTTTATTTTCATGCACGTCTGCTCTCATTACACGGTTCAAGCCTTCAACTGCAGAATAGCAATTTTAAATGTAAACATATTAGGTTTCTTTTTTATTTTTTACTCAATTACTGAAAGCAGTTTGAAAACTGCAGCGGAAGCAAAATTGAGAAAGTAAACGAAATAATTTAAACTGAAACGATAAAGAAGAACTTACAAACCAAAATGTATGGACGATTTCTTGCCGCTAGATATCCAAGGAAGCAAAATCTTCAGCTGATGCAAAACCTATGTCATTTGGCTGGTTTTAATGAAACTGTCCTTGAATATAAATAAATAAATAAATAAAAACTGAAGTGGAGCGGTTGTAGTGAGGAAAACATGGGAGCAATTGTGTATGTAGAGAGACGAAGAGGGAGAAGAAGGGGGTCATGGGCTTTTATCTTCTCTTTTCTTTTTCTTTTTTTCTAATTTTTAATTATCTTTTTGTTTAACATATTTTTCTTTTTTGTTTTTGACAAAAGTATTCATGCTATTTTGTTTCTATTATTTTCAGCTAGTTGTGGATTTTGTTGTTTGAGGGGCTTTATAGTTCAATTTTTTTTTTTTTTGTAAAGTTATGAGACACTAAACTCTTATTCTAACTTTCTAATATTAAAAATTAAAGATATTATTAATACAAATGTGAGTACTTTCTTTAAAAAAAATACTTGAAATGTTGTTTGATGGAAGCACATGGAAATGATTTTTTATTACTTAACAACACTTTTAACTTTTTTTATTATCAAACAATGTCAAAAATAATTTGTCTTAATGATCTAACAATGCTTTTAGTTATTTCCAAACATGTCTAGTTAATTATCGGTAAGTGAATGTGAACCCGAGTGTTAAAGAGCAAATACACTCTTTCGACCACAATTAAACCGTAGCTTTTAAAAATCATTATTAAAATTAGATAGTAAAAACAGAAGTGTCGATAACACCACTCTTATTATAAAAAATATAAAATAAAAAAAATTCATAATCCGACAAGGAAGAAAAGAACTATGAAATTTAAAAATTAAAAAAAAAAATCTTTTGATATGGGCGTCTCAGTTTTAAATTTTCTCAATCAAACATGATTTGATTAAACTTTTTTTTTTGTCATAATTTTGGTGTTATATGCATATTATATTGTAACAAATTTTCTATAATCTAGCCTTTTGATTACTCTCCTCCATTAGAGATAATTGTAAAAAAAAAAAAAGTTGGTTAGATTCAATTTATTTTCACAATAATGCTACAATTTAGCAATAATTATCTACAATTTAAGATATTTTCTTTCCAAAATAGTTTAAAATATTTGTAAATCCCCCAAAATCAAACGTACTGAAATAAAATTTTCTTTCAGTACGTTAAGAGAAAATAAGATTGAGAATAATATAAATGTACCAATACACAATGCGTACAAAATAAAACGTACCAAAATAAAAATAATGTACCAATATTAATAATATGTGTCAAATCAAACGTATCAAGATTGCAAATAAACGTACCAATTAATGATTTTTGTAAATTCAAACATACCTGCAGATAATATATACGTATTATACCTAATAATAATTTGTCAACAAATATACTTAAAAAACAATAAAAAAAATATAATTTCATAAAAAAAATTGAAAAAAATTATACAGAACTTTTATGTTGATCACCAACTATTTGAAAAAGAAAAAAAAAACCATTTGGAAAAAGAAATAATATTAAATGTTTGCCTAACCTAAAAAAAAAAACTTTGATCGAAAAAAAACATATTTGAAAGAAAAGAAAATATAGTTGAATTACTAATATCTCCCCTAAATAAGAAAGTGCATTATGCTGATAAACGAATAAATTCAAAAATTATTTTTATTTTAAAAAATAAAAAAAATTATTAATCAAAGCATTTTAATCAAATTTTATAAAAGTACCCGATAAATAGAAAAACTATAGGAATCTAATTTCCCTAAAAAAGAAATAAAGTGAGAACGAAAAGTACATAAATTGCAACTTTCTTCTCAGCTGCTTCTTCTTCTTCAGCTCTCTCAGCGATGGAGTCCAATTTCTCACCACAATCTTCGGCTCCGTTGCCCAAATCTAGGGTTAGGGTTCTTCCAATTATGCCATTCTCCTTGTTCTTCCTATTCTTTCTCAATTTCGCCGCCACAGCTTCCTCCTCTGTACCCCAAATCCCAAAATTCGATGCCCTATACTCCAAGCACTGCAATTCCATTGTCCCCAAATCGGACACCGATCCCTCCACATGGTTCGTCACCAACCTCTCCATCGCCGACATTGGCTTCGGGAACGGCTACTTCTCCGGCGGCGATCAGCTTTTCGGTAACCTGAACGGCTTCAATTACCTGAGGACTCTCTCCTTTTTTGCCAACGAGGTGCGTAAAACCCTAACCGAAGGGATTTTCGAAGTCCGGGCAGTCCTGCGGCTTCGCGACTTCTACAGGGTAGGCGACGGCAACTCTACGCGCCGTAATCTGCGGTTGGTTTATCATCCGAGAAACGCGTATCGGAAGGGAATGATGAGCTTTAGGCTCAGTGGGTACTACTCAGAATCTTCAAGGAAGCTTTGTATGGTTGGAGAAGGTATGCCACAATTTTTTGGGAATCGTTTTGTTGCTGTTCTTAAGCTTAATTATCCAAAAAGTTCGAGTATTTATGATAGTTTAATCACTGGGATTTTAGAGAGTTTGGATGAGAAGAAGGATCCGAATTATTTCGAAGCTCTTAACATGTTGGCTTTATATCAGAGAACTAGCTATGAATATAAGTTAGCTGGGAAAGATAGTGAGAATGGTTGTTTGCAGGGTGGTGATGATGGCGGAGAGAATTTGAGTCTGAGAAATCCGAAGCGGGGTGTGTGTATGTTGATTGGTAATTTTCGCGAAACGTTTGAATTGGAATATGGGAGTGAATGTGGGGGTGTGAATTGTGATCCTGTTGGTGGGGATGCTGGAATTGCATCTTCCTTGGTTTATCATGTAACTCGGTGTACAGATGAGAGGAATATGCAGATGTTGTTGGGTTTTTCGAACACTAGCGGTCATAATATCAAATTTCCCTTTGATCCCAAAACAACTTTCATTGCTGAAGGGGCATGGAATGAAAAGGAGAATCGTCTTTGTGTTGTTGCGTGCCGGATATTGAATTTTACAGAGTCTTTGACTAATGCATTTGTTGGAGATTGCTCGACTAAATTGACTTTGAGATTCCCAGCAAGATTGTCTTTAAGAAATAGGTCTACTGTTGTGGGGCAAATTTGGAGCAACAAAGAAGTGAATGACTCGGGCTACTTTGGTAAAATTGGGTTTCGCAGTTTGTCGGGATATTTGATGAAACTGTTGGATTACAAATATGACTATTCTGAGAACAAGTCTGTCAGAAAAACATGTGCAGAAAAGAAGGCTGGGAGAGGCAAGGGAAAGAAATACCCTGCAGAGTTTTCATTGGACATGAAATTTGGCATGACAGTGAGAAACAGTGATGGACGCCAAGCATATGGTTATTCATCCCCTTTATTTGTGGACGATGAGCGAACTTTTGGACGCCGGTTTTGGGATAACTTGCCACAAACAGACTCACCATTGCAGCAGAAGAAAAAACATACCCATAGCAGTCCAATGAACGTCAGCTATAGGTTGTGGTTCGCTGATTTTGATTTTCGTCATGATGTTTTCCCATCTAAAGCAGAACTATCTGCTGAAGGAATATATGATAGGGATTATGGTAACCTATGCATGATAGGATGCAGGCGCGTACCATTGAAAAATCAGACATCGATTCAAAAGGACATGTTAGACTGTGATATTAGAATTAATGTACAGTTTTCTCCGTTGGATACAAAGAATCGTGAAAATGTCAAGGGAAGTATTGAAAGCACAAGGGGAAAGTTAGACCCTCTTTTTTTTGAACCTATTCAATTTTCATCGAACTCAATGTACTACAACCAAGCTGCAGCATCCATTTCAAGAATCGACTTGGAAATCATTATGGTTCTCATTTCCAACACCCTCGCATGTGTCCTTATCGGATTGCAGCTCCTGCACGTGAAGAAGCACCCAGATGTTCTCCCATTCATCTCAATTGTGATGCTTATTGTTCTTACTCTGGGATATGTGATTCCGCTTCTGGTCAACTTTGAAGCAATGTTTGTGCCAAGCCACGGCATCATCCAGCGGGATACTTTTCTTGGCACTGGTGGATGGCTTCAAGTGAATGAAGTAATAGTCAGGATGTTAATGATGGTAGCTCTTCTTTTGCTGCTACGTCTTCTCCAACTGACGTGGTCCGCAAGACAAGGCGATGGAAACCAGAAGAGCTTGAGAGATTCTGAGAGGAAAGTTCTTTATGCAACTCTACCATTGTATATAGCTGGTGGACTGATAGTTTGGTTTGTGTACACCTACCTGAAATCACACAGGCCTTTTCTAAGAGTCCACAATCCCCGGCACCACCACAGGATGGCTTACCGAGTGTCTAGTCTCCACCATCTTGCTTACGACAACCACTCTCTCAGGGAGGACCTCAGCTCTTACGCCGGCTTTGTCCTGGATGGTTTTCTGCTCCCTCAGATATTGTTCAACTTATTCTTCAATTCAAGAGAAAAGACTCTGGCCTCCGCCTTTTACTTCGGAACCACCATAATCCGTCTGCTGCCTCATGCATATGATCTTTACAGGGCTCGGACCGGTGCATGGTTCCTTGAACTTCCGAATATTTATGCAAATCACAGAATGGACTTTTACTCCACTGCCTGGAACATCATCATCCCCTGCGGCTGTATGCTGTTCGCCACCAATGTTTTTCTGCAGCAGAGATTCGGCGGGCGTTGCATTCTTCCTAAAAGATTTAGAGAGAGTTCTGCTGTATATGAGAAAGTTCCTGTCATCAGCAATGAGCAACTGTGAAGGACATAAATTTACCGAAGAAAAAAAATTTTTTTTTTTTTTTTTAATGATAGAAATATAGTCGAAATTTTTTTTTAAAATGCAATCTCTTTTATGGTGATAATTTCAAATTTTCGGTGATGTGATGACATCTAAGGGGCATGTAGGACCATCAATTGATAATAGTACCATGTACTTTCAAAAATACCATGAATAGCTGACTTTGTCCATGAACAGTACCATCTAAGTATAACTAATGTTTTCTCAAAGGCCGTTCGCTTTCTCGACCAAAGAATGAGGAGAGCAACTTATACGAAACAAGTTTACCGTCACATGACATCCAGATCCAATAATACATCATATGGATAAAAATCTTGCACAAGGCAACAAAATATTTAACAAAGGCCACCATGTGATGGTAAACCCGGTCCATGAAAGTGTTTATCAAGAATGAGACTTTTAGTTGAATTTGGGGTACTTTTCTGTGACTAAAAGCATATAAATTCTGTTCTTGAGACTAGAGAGAGAGGAATAGAAAAAGTGATAGGTGGGAAATAGCAAATAAGCTACCTAGCATAGAACAGAAGCTACGCTAGATATGAACAAATATTTACAAAACCAGATCCTTAACAACTAATCACTCGAATTACTCGAATTACCCTGCTTCATTACAAAATCTCTAGCCCGAAAAAATTCGGTGACTCGCAAATTGAACACAGGAGCATCAGAAGAGGAGGAAAGATGTGCTGATTAGTGCAGATCAGCAGCTGAATTCACCAATGGAAGAATCGTGACCTGAAACATAATGCAATCCGGTTAGATACTGTATGGTTTACGGCGGTCATGGACTCCGGAGAAGGAGCACACAAGCACGAGTGAAAATGGAATCGAAATACTACCTCTGAATGCATCTCATTGGAACTTTTTGCCGGTAAGAATACGAGATATCTGAAGACCCCGGCTGAACGCTTCATTGAACAAGATCCTAGTCTGCATTGACTGAAATCCAGGTAACCATGACAGCAATGCCACAGGAGCCATAACAATCACTCCGAAAATCAAATCATACAGTCGGGCCAACGAAACAACAGTATCCCACACCACCGTAGACTGCAGAAAAGGTCTGAGTACTTGAGCTATTAAGATTATACCGTAGCCAGTAGGGATGAATGCCAAGAGACTTGAGATGAAATCAAGAAAGTTGAACTTAGTGAACTCAATCAGCAACACGGCTACGAGTACCAAGGCAATTATGACAATAAGCTGAACTAGCCGGTAGTAAATGTGGTCCTTTGCTGCATATTTGTCCTGAGCATATGCTAGGACTATATAGATTCCAACAGCCACCACCATGTATATCCAAGATAGCAAGTAAACAGCTATACTTGTATTTCCGCCAGTAATGTTCAGTTGATACACAACACCATACTGGAAGAAGAAGAAACGAAGATCCAGAATAATTTCCAACAGCTTTCCCCAAAGACCAGTTGTTCTCAGATGGTCTTGTTCCTCATACCACCATGTTTCCCAGCTCTGTTCAGCTTTCGTAAACACACCCCCGGAATACCATAACCAGTTCATAAAATCATCAAAGTCATATACAGTTTTCAGCCAGTCAAATCCTGAAGGGTTGAACACGAATGGTGCCATTATCCACGACAATACGAGACACCAGCTTGAGATTGACATGGCAATGTAAACAAAAGTATCCGCAACAGAGCTATGAGCAGCATACACTATTAAAATGATCCCAAGCTCAATTGCCTTCACAAAATGGCTTCGAGAGTAGAGTCGATAGTTCTCGGCAAAGCTCTTGTGTTCGACCACAAAACCACGTCCAGTTGCTCGGTATTTTGCACCCCCATGAAGAATAGTACGGCCAAAGAAGTGGGTACGAGTTCCCATTGAGAATGTGTAGAAAGCTGAAGCAAGCTGCAACTGCATTGTTAAGAAATCCCAAACTGCTCGAAGGAAACCCTGTTCAAGAGAGTTTTCGACAATCATTGGGAGGGCAGTGAAGAGACCTAGCTGGATAATAAATTGCTGGTTCAAGACCACACCAAGCGATTTGTTGTTGCTTGTCTTGTCCTCGATGCCACTGAGAGAAAGAAAAAGGCGGCCCCACAAGAATGAATAAACAGTCAGTATCACCATCATCGTGTTAAAGTAGAACCCAACAGTTGAGTAGAAGAATGAAAGCATTCGAAAGAAGTCCAATCTATGACCCAGCCGGTACACATCTCTGCTTAAAACCTGCTCACCGTTGCCACTAGCAACCTTAGCCTCAAACATCGAGATCTGATTCAACCCGACATCCCTCCCCTTGCCCACCTGTATATATTCATGGTGAGTCACATTGCCACCTCGCAATGTACAATTGAAGCCAGCAAATATGTCCTCGCTGATATTGATCACTTTAGAAGCCTTGCTAATACCACCCCGAGGCAAGAACCAGAATCTGTCAAACACATCTGGGTGACCGTAGTGCATTCGCACCTTCAAAGGGTTTGCAAGAACGCGCTGGTTCAGGGTCACAAAACTCATCTCCTGAGCAGACATGAACCAAGCAAGAGACGACACAGAACCAGTGAAGATATTCTCACGGACACCCAAGATAGTCGGCTTCCTTATACCATAGAAGTGCTTAAATTCCTCCAACAAATTCCGCATTTTGAGTGCCTCCTCAAAATAATTGTCTTGGTTCATGTCAATGGTCTGAATTGCATCACCCCTAGTGAAGATTATGGCATGGTTCTGATTTTCTGGTTTGCCTTCCCCAAGCTTCAGTGGACCAGGCAACCTAATCCGATAGATCTCAACCTCCCTTTGCATCTCCTGATCATATTTAACAAGGACAGAGTAATACTCAACCTCGTCCCTCCCCAAGTGAACCTCATCAACATAGGCAACTCGAAGGGCCTCATTGTTTTTCATAAGATATAAGATCTCCTCAGCACGGTAGTCTCCCTTCGCCTTGTGTTGCCCGTATACTTGGCAGGCAACCACGTATGTGAACTTCAACATAGCAATCCCATGTTCATTCCCCTTGAATAAATAACTGACGCTGCTACTTGTTCTTCCAAGTTTCCGAGAAGAATGATACATGCCTGACTGTATACCATCCAAACCACTACTTTGGCTTCCCAAAACATGAGAACCAACTTGCTGCGATCCATCCCTTATGTCCATCTCAGATGCAGTATCAAGAAATGCAAGCATCTTAAGGGCCCTATAGTAGTACATCATTCCTCTAACAGTGCGAGATAAAGTCTGGCCTCTGAACGATGCCCAAACACGGAGATCCCTTGCCTTCGTTTGAAAGATTTCGTCGTCATTCTCCATGCCCTGTCTGTGCATCCGTTCCATAAAGTTCGTCCACTCATCTGCATAAATCTTCTGCAGATAAAAGAGGGTGGAGATGCCATCTTCATTCTCACTTCGAAGAGCTTCTTTTCCATACAACACTTCCTCATCGTAGTATGGAGTCAGCACGCTGAAAGCCATCATTTTTTCAACATAGGGAGCACGGGGCATATTCATAAAAAGAGAATTGCTAAAGAAAGCGATACGTCGCCTCGCCTCAAGATTCATTGGGACATTGTGCATTGAGTCTCTAGAAGTGAGAATTGTATGCAGTCGACGCAGATGCCTAAAGAAGACCGCATCCTCATCATCAGGAAAGTTGACTGCCTTTTCAAAAAGAAAGTCTGCATCAGCGGCTGAACTACGAGGTGCCAGGCCTTCCATCCTCAAGGTGTCCATGGTCTTCTTCACCCTCGGGAACTCACGAACAGAAAGTTCGTACAAGGCCTGCAGAACATCCACAACCTTGCTTACATCTTTCTTTTGTTGCATTAGAAGCTCAATAAGAGAAATCAACTTAGCATGAATTTGCGGAAGCAGAGACATCTTGTATGTAACCGTGACCTTCTCGGTCAGAATACATTGATCTATCTCCATGAAAAAAATTTTAACAATGGAATTTTCTTCCGTGCCATCTTTAACAACCATGTGAAGCAGAAGATACTTGATGCTGTCATAAGCTTCAATGACAGCACACCGCCGATACTCATTCTTGCATATCTTCAACCAAAGCAACTGGTCATGTTCCTCTCCCATCTCTTTTGCCTGACTCAGAGCAAGCAATAGTTCATTGCAGAGGAGGCAACATGGCCAGCGAATAACCCTAATGTTCCAACAATTAGGTGGCAGTTCCAAGAGCTCAAGTTCTCGATCACTAATGAGATCTTCCTCCCTGAAAGTTGTCATGATTTCATTCCATATCAAGGCAAACCTGGTAGCTTCAACTTGGCTGGATTCAGTTTTCTTGTAAGCTTGACCAAGTCCATAACGCAGTTTCAGTCTGTGGATGGCCTCACGGAGCTTCCTCACCGCCGTGACCTCAGGACGTAAGGACTCCTCCTCTGGCATAAGATTAAATTGCAATGCACTGGCAAAGAACTGAAATCTAAGCCTTAGCTGTTTTATATTTCGGATCTCGCCCAAATGCGAAAACAGCCCAATTGCTGCACCAATTAAGGATTGGTAAATGGCAAACCATATTTGCAAATCCATAAAGTACATCAACACAACAGGGATCCACAAAAACACAATTGCTATTCTATTCCCGCTGCCAAAAAACAAATGTATTTTGTAATCGAAATTCTTTATGTCCAAGAGAGCCTTCGTCGGGGAAACAAGAGGCTTGATCTGAAGGAAATAACTGAAAGAGAATTTCGAACCCAATACTGCAATCCAAAACAATGTATACTTGATATTACTGACAAGCCCTTCCCTCAGTCCACGACCCACGAAAATCCGCGTATGAAACCACCATGTGAACACATATAGTATACTAAAATCCAACCCCTCAAGGAAGTTTCTCACCCAAGGAACTATAAAGAAAACCAATGCCAACACCTCTGGGACAATGAAAACAAGTGCAGCCTCAAGAAAAACAACAATCCTCCGATTGGCCTCAGCGGACCACCTCCCATCTTCATTCCTTTGAGCCCAAATCTGTGCATAAAACACAGAAAACACAATAGTCCACGTCGCAGCAGCCAGACCCTTCAGCACCATCCTCACCCCAAGCAACATTGTCTCCTTGGACACCAAACTATACTGAGTCCCAGCATCAAGCACGGCCTGAAGAAGGCGAAGACCGCCCCAAGTAATAAACACGGTCAGCACCTGCACCTGATCATCCCTCCGATCCAACGCCTGCCACGGATACTCTGTCTCCTTCCATGCAACAATAATAGCGGCCTGTAAAAACAAAATCAACATAACCCAGATCTTATCAAAGCTCCTAAACAGATTCCAAAACGACCTCTGCTCCACAAACCCCGTCTTCCCAACCCTCCGATCCTTCGGAGTAGTAGCGAAAAAGTTACTATCGAACTTAATCGGCCATTTGAGCTTCTTAAAACACCTCCTAGACCAAAAATACTCGTTTATATCATCATAATTTCGCCACGCCGAGTGGGGAGCGGTGCCATTTCTGCTGCTCTCCACCTCGGCTTTAATCGTCTGGTAAATTGGCATCACCACACTCTTCAGATACCCGCAGTCCCCGGAAACAAATGGCAGAAATGGGCTACCCGTATCCGGGTCCGTATACTCATCAAGCACTTTGTTCAGTTCCATAGCCATATGATGATAAATATAACATACACATTCGGGTACGAATCGAACGTTACCGGACTCACCCCAAATCAGCAGGAACAGCGCCACGTACAGCAGCTCGCGCCGGAGGTCGTCGCCGCCGCGGCGCCTGGCGAAGATGACGCTCGACTTCCGGCCGAGGTACGAGCACCAGGAGGTGTAGTTGTAGAGCAATTTGCGGCGGAACCGCCTGAGGACGGCGGGCTCGAGCGAGTCAACTATGTTCGGCGGAGGCTGGAGGCGCATTTGGGAGTTGGCGAGGTGGAGGACCAAATGCTCCCGCTGGTTCCGAACGTTGTCGATTTGGAACCCGAAGAATAGTCCCAGCCAGTCCATCAGGTCGTAGGACGGATTCCAGGGGATGAAAGGCGGCTTACGGAGGTCCCCAACGGCGCGTAGGGCTGCGGCGGCGGCGCGTACCTCGGGATAGCGGAGGGAGGGGTGGTCTGCGAGGAGGTCGTGGATGGGGATTATGTTGTAGGCCTGTTGCATCGGCGGCAGCGGCGCGCGTATCGGTCCGCGTCCGCCGCGGGCTGGCTGCGGACGCTGTCGGAGATCCATATAACCTCTTCTTTCAGATTTCACGGCGTTTGGAATTTCGGTTTCGGTTTCATTTGTTGCTTGTGGAAGTGAGAAATGAAGAGACTGGGAAGCTGCTGGGTTTTTAGAGGGGTGCTGCTGGGTGTACCGGACGGGTTGCTGGGTTTTTAGAGGGGTGCTGCTGGGTGTACCAGACGGGTTGCTGGGTTTTTTTTAGGGTTTTAAGTAATGCACACGCAGGCTGTCGCTATTCGCTCGGATGTTTTGATTTGATTCAATCGGAAGGGGATTGATGTGACGTGGAGACACGCGCTAGAAGGCGAGTTGTGGAGGACGATGGAAATATCGGCGAAAGTGGGGGGATTGTGGGTCCGAAGTCAGCCAAACGTTCCGGGTAGGACCCGCCACTGAATATCTCCATTATCAGATATCCCATTCGTCTCGAGAACCGAGGGAAACACGCAACAACCCCAGCAGCAGCCACGTTCGGTGTTCTTTTAAACGATGCCGTATGGTGATTTTGAAGTTTTCAACTTTTTAGCATATAGGATGAATCCAACGGTTATATGTCACACATGCAATGGAAAATAAAATAAAAAGGGAATTTTCCTTTAATAATTCATTTTTTTCTTTAAAAAAAAAAAAAGATAACCAATGGCGAGTCACGATTATTCATCATTTTTAAGGTTAAAAAGACTTACAAAAGCATTTTAGCATCTCTTGAATTTTTCTTTAATAATATATTTTGAAGAACAAGAGATTTATGTAAAAGTACATGTATATCCTTCCTAACATTAAACATAAAGAAAAACTTTTCTATCTTTCAAAAAAAAAAAAAAAAAAAAAAAAAAAACTTTTCTATTAAAAAAATAAGAAAAGTAAACAAAAAGAAGAGTAAGGTTATTCATATCATGTTTTCGTACCACATTTTCATACCATCTTAGGTGGCATTTGATGTGGACAGCCACATTATTTGAATTAATCAGATTTTTAAATTTAGTTCATTATTTAATAAACTAATAATTAAAAAAACTAGTTAATTAAATAATGATTGTGGTATACAAGGAAGTTTTCTCCTTTATTTTCTTGGGTTTTGCGAACTTTTCAAATGATGTAGTTGTCATATGAATAACATTCCTTTAAAAAGAAAGATTTTATCATAAATGATAGTTGAAATTGATATAATTTATTATTTTAGTCTTTTATGATACGATCCTAAAAAGAAAGATGAAAATTCTTAAGTTTTTTTTTCATATATACAGTCAAAAGAGTTGTTTATGCATGATGAAAATGTCCCTACAAATGTTGTATCTCTTAGACCCATCTTTCGTTCTTAAAAGACACTTTATGATATGAGAGAATCTCAAATATTCAAGTTGAACTTTTACTCTTTAAGAAATTATACTAATTAAAGTTGGACTTTAAACAGTCCCTATTATTACAGTATTATGATTTTTTTTTTCTTGTAAATAAATTCATTACTTGTCATTTTTCAATGACGAGATATATACGTCAAAGAGTGATGGGAGAACAACTGATATCAAACTTGTTATGCACAAAATTCAAATCAATACTTATAAATACAAAAAAATATTACAAAACCATAAATCGACTATAATTAAACTAAACTCTTCACGTTTTATTCTTTTGCGGTTAAATTTTGCCGTGTATCAAAAGTTGAACTTGAAATTTAGTTGTAACTTCTTTTCTCATTAAATGAAGATTGTATAATAATTCATTAAAAAGAATAATCAATGACTTTTCAAGTCTTGAAACCGATCACTTGATGTTACGTTGAGAAAAAGGTGGGGTTTTCTTTTTCTCTTTTCTTATTCTCTTTTTATGCTGACATTAACAGCTGAAGAACAAAAACGTGGGTTTGCATTATCCTTTTGTTCTGCCGTGTCGTTAGCGGATATGCGTCCTGTGATCCCTTTATTTTTTACATGCTGTTTGAATGTATTTTTAAAATAATTGAATGTATTTTTAGTAAAAATATTTTTAGCATAAATTTTTAGTGAAAATACAAGTAAATCATGAAAAACTACTTAAAGTGTTTTCTGGAAGATAAACATAACTATTGTTTCTTGCATAAAACACTTTAAATGCTTTTAAAACCTAAAAATATTTTTTTCTAAAAAAACTTTCAATCATTTTAAAAGCATATACAAACAAGTTATGTATTATTAATTATTCTTTGCCTGGTTGGTAAAGTTTTAAAGGCAGAGAATCTATTACACCATTTTATTATAATATTAACTAATTTTATTTATTTGTCTAAAAATCATATACTAGTGTGCATATACGCACTGCTCACAGAGGTAGCGTCATCGAAATTTTATTTATTTGTCTAAAAATCATATACTTGTCGGATCAAAATTAATTTTGATACGTTATCGTCGTTGTTTATGTAAAAATGCGATTATAAAGTAAAGATTTTAAGCCAAAAAATAGAAAAAGATTTTGAAAGACTTAGAAAGAGATTTTACGAAAATATATGAAGGATTTGAAGATGTTAAAAGACATGATGTAAAAACGAGTACAGTGATATTTTAAAATTCATACAGTTGATCCCACTTAGTAAAATAGAGATTAATAATTCTCCTTGTTGTCATTTTCAAAGTAAATCAAATCTAAAAATCTTTCATAATTAAATATCATTAAAGTTTGAAATTACACGTGACAGATGTGTATGACTTGACTGAACTACTGGAACTCAAATTAATGTTTTACGAAAACCAAAGTATTAAACCCCGATTCCTAAACGTATTAGCCAATAAAATTAATGGTTTTATAAGACGTGAAGTTATGAATTTGTAACATTCCAAGTTCCAACGGCTACATCACATTCTTTATTGAATTTATTTCTATACTATTGAATATCATTTCTTTAACCCCACTAAACATGTGCCATGAATTTAATAACATAGGAATTTCGTAAACCCATAAGACATTATCATGCGGATATACTTATGAATGATTATGTTCTTTTAAAGGGACTCTTCTATGAGCCAGGAAAATACACAGAGATATTTCAGCAATTAGTTATCATTGTGTGATTTATCAATGACAACAATCGAACAAAGAGTGTGTCATATGAAATAATTATATTCATCCCCAATTACTGAGCCACACCGTGCTAGTTGTTATAGTGACATTTTTATCTTTATGCACTAAATTCTAATTTCTTTTCGTCTAAATGAGGCTTGTTTGGAAGTGTTTTCAATATGACTAAAAACAACTTTTGGTGAAAATGTTTTTGAAATTAATATTTAGTAAAAATCTAAGCATATCCTTGAAAAAACACTTTAAATCTTCCTGCAAGAAGCACATATCTAACGGAGGATTCGAGTTTGAGACGTACTCTAACGTTTAAAAGAAATATATCACCAGACAAACAGTAGTTGGTAACGCAAAAATGTTGGGTGTCCAACCAGAACGCAACCAGGCGGACTATGAAGCATAGGAAAGACCCAAAGCCCACCTTCATGGGCCACTAGAGCAGTGGCATATTTTTTCATCATTAGAGTTCTCATTTCAAACATTCACCACATTTTCATGCACAAAGTTAGACTCATAACATATTTTGAGATCAAAAAATGGTACAATAGAGCTACAGAAACAGTTTATCTATATCATTTTCGCTTCATTTTTCATCGAACCTCGAAATTTTGAGCTCGACTAATGCTCCGCAACATCCCTGATCTGGTTCTTCGATTCAGCATTTCAGCTTTGGTCCGATACACCATATTTGGTGTCCCGTGTCCCATAAGAAGCAATTGTTAATAGCCTTTCCATAGATTGGCCAGAAAGTCATAACATTGCATTTGATCCTGGTTACCAGTGATCTGCCAGTTGTCTCTGCTTGCAATCCAAGCAATGTGATAGAACCCTATTTCGAATCATGTCTTTGTTGTAGAGGACAGCTTAAATCCCCCCAATGCTAACTAGACGATTAGTTGGAGCCTTGGAGGTGATCTCATTCATCACCAGTAATCCATACACGAACATGAGCCATCTTTGAAGTGGTGAAACCGAAGCTTATCCCGAACAATAATTTCTCGTTTGGTAACTATAGAAATAAACTTAATTGCCTCATGGCAGTCCTCGCACATTCGGAGGTTCTTTACAATCCGAATGGACACACCATCCTTGGTTTTCAACAGCCCAAATGTGATTGCAAGCTTCTCACTATGATATCTAAGGGCATATTCCCTCTCTTCTTCTTCCACTTCATGCATCACTGACTCAGGCGCCGGTGCATACCCTGCTTCCCTGCACCGGGACATTAGTTCATCTAAATGCTGATAAACTTCACTAGTCTCAGGGTGGGACTTGTCTCCCATGCTAAACAGGTAGGTTCTGTGATTCAAGTCAATCGTGCTATAGCCAACTCGCTTTCTCAAGCTTCTTCCCATCATCATGTTTCTAATCATTTCCACCCGATCCATCCGGCCTGCCAGTGCATATATATTCGAAAGCATTACATAATGCCCAGGATTTTCAGGCTCAACCTCCAACAGATGCTCAGCAACTATTACTCCAAGATCGAAATTCTTGTGCATCTTGCAAGCACCAAGCATAGCAGTCCAAACAGCCGGGGCTGCCTCCTCAGCACCAAGCTCTTTAATCAACTGATATGCTTCATTGAGAAGTCCGGCACGCCCAAGCATATCAACTAGGCAAACATGATGCTCCACACTTGGCACTAAGCCGTAATCTTGCCTCATGCTTGCATAAGCCGCCCGGCCTTCTGGAACTAACCCTGCATGAGCACACGCTGCCAAGACTGCCACAAAAGTGACGGTGTTAGGAACAGGACCGTGAGCTTTCATTTCACGGAAGAGCTCCACAGCTTGAGTACCATAACCATTCGTTGCATACCCAGAAATCATAGCCGTCCAAGCAATCACATTCCGTTCCTTCATCGAATCAAAAACTTCTCTTGCTTTACTCACATTCCCACACCTAGCATACATGTTAATCAGTGAAGAGCCTAGAGCCACATTCACATGAAGGCCACTGTTAATAACATCACGATGCACCGAACAGCCTAAGCCAAGAGCTCCCAACTGAGAACAAGCCGCCAATACACTCACGAAAGTCGTCGAATCAGGTTCAACACCCAATTCCCGCATTTGATCAAACACCTCAATCGCTTCTTTCGATAACCCGTTTTGCTCATAACCCGAAATCATCGAATTCCAAGCCACAACACTTCGGTCCGGCATTTTATCAAACATCTTCCAGGCGGCACCCAAATCTCCAGATTTGCAATACAAGCTAACGAGAGCGGCTTGAACAAACGAATCCGCGCCGTACCCACATACCAAAGCATGCGAATGAACGCCTCTTCCGAGTCTCAGATCAGAAAGATCGGCACACGATTTAATCACCGACGTAAAAGTGTAGCTCGACGGCGGAATGCAGAACGAAGAGCATGCTGTGGTAGAAGAAAACGGTGTATTGCGGGAAGCTGAACTTCGAAGAGGCTTTGATGAGGGAGTTGAAGAGGAAGGCGTCCGGGCTCGGAACAGAGAGGAAGAGGCGGTGCGTGTAGAAAATCGAACCGGCTTCGCAGGCCAGAGTGAGGAGCTTGGTGAGGAGGGCGCGGCTGCGGTGCGAACCGGACACGACGAGGTGGGCGTGGACTTGTTGCAGCGGTTTGATCCGCGGACCGGCTCGGAGAAGAGCTAGGTAGGCCGGAGACTTCGGGGCTGAACCGGCGACTCCGAGATCGTGCCGGAGCTGTTTGGCTTCCATGAAAAGAGAAGGGAATTGTATGAGTTGTTCCAAACGCAGCGTTTTAAGTTTTAACACTCATTACAAATTAATTTGCAGTTCGCGCGAGCAAACTCTCAGTGCAAAGCGCAGCGTTTTAACTTCCATGAGGGGTTTCCTTTTCCTCCTCATCACCCCGTCTCCGACAGCAGTGGCCGTTCATGACTAGGCCAGGGACTGCTCGTGTACGACTGTCGGACCAACATTACATAGTCTGTCTACGGTTCGGACAGACTGACCGTCTCACAAAAATATGAGATCCTCGGTGTTTGTGTATGCTGCTTTATACCGCTGCCATACAAAAAACTCAAGCCTTGGTTCGAGGCTTGAGGAGGTTTTGAGTGGCTATATTTCGAACGTAAGGTAAAAATAATTAAAAGGTAGATGCGGATTAGATTAGTTAGGTAGAGCATCGTGTTTGCTGCCTTACATCTGAATTCAAAGTTTTCTCCTTATAAATTAGAGTAGTTTATGACATCGTCTCATCAAAAACTGTTTTCGTTGTTCCTTGGAGAGGACTTGGGAAAGAGCAAACCTTGCTACAACGTTGGACCAACTCGGTAAGTCCAGCAGTCAAAGGCCCAAAGCATGTTCATGTTGTTCTTTGTTAACTTTTTCATTGCCAAAATGAAGTGTTGCTCGCTAATATTAACAGATGTCAAGAGGTTACCCTAAATAAGTAGATGAAGCAATCAACTGAAGATAGCTAATAACTAACCTGAACTCTACTTTCATCATTCCATGAGCTAAGGCCATGTGGCCATGTACGTTGTGTTTGTTGATTCCAGAATCCAGAATTTCAGTGGCATTTGGAGAAATTTTACTTTTGTGTTCAATCACATACATCTTCTGGCTATCCTGACCGTTGGATCGTAGTGTACAATGTTATCTTGGATGTGCTTGAGATTCCTTTATCTACTGGATATATTAGCCTGAATTGATCTTTGAAGTAGACAAAATCTGCTGGTTTACTATTGAATTAGTGTAGTTTTCCTTACCTATGTTGCTATTAACGAGAAACTTGTGACATCTGTTAATGTTAAGAAGAAACATTTAGAAGAATCAAATTATCGAACAAAAACATCACCTATATCAACTCTATGTCATATTAACATTTGAGTACATGATTTTTTTTCTAAATGTTATTTTTAACTTTTAATTATTTTCTTTTTAATATGAAATAGAACTTTGAGAAATAACCCTAAAACAATAAGGATAAAAAAAAGACGATGAAACACCACCAAAATGGTAATATTTGTCCAAAATTGTAGCTAATGGTTTTGTAACCAAGTTATGCAATCAAATCACGTTATTGCTAACCTATTATGAGATTAAGTCCACTCATTCTCATTAGTATAAATAAAATCTTTTGTTAAAAAAAAAAGAAGAGATATATCCCGATGATGCTGTTAATTAACATCAATACATGTCTTATTAAAAGGCAATAGGACATTGCCAACTATTAGGGAAAATGTTAATTTTCACACGTCAAAATCACACTTAACCCTGGGACAAGTCACCTAACAATTAAAAATTCTAGAATCTCAAAGAAACAGATATAAGCCTGTGGTAGTTGATCATGTTCATATTTTTCTAAAATCATTCGTCATACTCATATATAGTATGAAAGAGAAGAAAAAAAATTTCACAAGGACATTTCCGAAAAAAATAATATAAAAAGGACTTTTTCATAAATTCCAAATTAACAGCCATTCAAGTACAATATTACATTAAATTTTTTACGGTGGAAAAAGCAGAAATGCTGGGAAATATCGAAAGGAAAATTAACCCAACAGAATTTCATGGTAATTAACTAGGTTTTACCACGAAGAGAGGATTAAGAGCATTGTAAAGAGTAAATAGATTAAGCACATAGTAAAATATTGCTGCAAGGATGCCAGCAACAAGAGCCCCATTGACATGGTTGCAAAACTTGGACACTTGTCCACAAATTGGCAGCCAACCAGCGTGAGTGTTCCCTTTCTTCGCCACTTGACCTATCGCCAGGGCTGCTGACATGCTTGAAGTAAGAAGAAGAGCTGCAACCTGCAACAGTTTCAATCCCTCAGTTCCCATTAAGTTGGAAATTAGAATGACGGTTCTCGAGCTGGAAAAGAGACTTACATGAAACAAGAACACTAAAGTGGTGGTTTACGGCCCGTGCATGTCTATCACGTGTCGCCATGTGTTTTAACTTTTTTACATGACATTGCATGATTGGTTCGGAACACAATCACTTTAGCGTTTCTGTTTCATGCAAGTCGTTATCCTCAGTCTGACTTCTTCTTACACCGATTTCATGTTGGTAAACAAGTCATTATTTCAGATAAAAAAGGAAGAATTCACTTAAACTATGAAATTAAATAAAGGAATAACATGGTGTTTTTACCACATCTAGGATGATAACAATGCGCCACAGTGAGCCCTTCGAAGAAAGAAGCAGGATTATAAGGTTGTATCCACTTACAATTGCCTCCACAATCACAAAGTACCTTTTTACATGTTTTAAAACAAAGAAAAAGTTATACAAAATGACAAGAAAAAGTTATATAAAAGCATTAAGAAGATGATTAATTGCGAGGAAAATGGACTATCTAGAGAGAGAGAGAGAGATCGACGGTCTACCGAACTCGGATGCATATTGCGTTTAACAAACTGACCTAATTCACGTTTGCGAATTTGTCACAAACTTGGAGAAACTTGAAGAGTAAACTTACATGAAAGTCGGGGAATCGCTGAATTTGGCCTTGAAGGTCAAGTTCAAGACCCTGGTAGAGTCGTGGCTGGTGACCATAACTATGGTGGCAGAAACAGTAGCAGCCAAGGCCAGCAGCCTCAGCACAAAGGTGAAGATCCTCCTGGTCTGAGTCATGGAGAAGTTAACCTAAACGACACAGTTTTACGACGAAACGAAGAACTAAGCTAGGGAAGATCGAAATGCTGAGGGGTATATTTAGAGCAGAAGAGGGTAGATGTAGAGAGTTTGTTAGGAGGACAGATAGGAGGTGGGAGGGAGGGCACTTGTCTTCTTTGTATTTCTTCACACCAACAAGGGTTTGGTTACCTGCAAATTGTACAAGACAGTGAAGATTGCTGCAACACCAGCCAATTAAACTTTTACACAGCAACACGGGCCCCGGCCAGACTAAACCCGTTTTGGGTCCGTTCAGATTTTGACATGTGGTTTCTTTCTACAAGCAAAGTTTTGATGAAGAATTTGTGTGTAAATTAAGGGATCATAGCATGATCCATTTATATTATGTGATTGCATGCCTGCACTCCACATGATCGATTGTACTCGTTTTGGATATGAATCGGCCACAAGGTCAAATAGCATTTGGCTTTTTAATGAAAATTTGTACGTGGTTCTAGTAAAACGGTTGAGGAAAAATATGTACGAGCACAAGCACTTCTTATATAAATTGTATCAAATGGGCCCATGATCAGAAGTGACGTTTACCATTAAACGTGATTAACCAAAGTCTAGCTACATCTAGTGTTGGTTTTACATTTATTTTAATTTACACCAACTATCTAGTGGGTTATCATACGGCACATACACACACCAAAGATATGATGTCTATGGCCATAGGACACAGTGGAGGAGTAGTGAAATATTTATGATATACCCCCAGCTTCACTGCCGAAAGCAGTGTCGGACAACTTCACTAGCCACGGCTAATGCCGGTGTGTATGTATGCTATTTTATTCAACTTTATCTTCGGGTGATGGACAGGTTATTCAGCTTCACCTTTAGGTGATGGACATGTATTGCCTTCAGGTGATTATGATACCCCTAAAGAGTAAAATATGGATGAGATTTACAGATTTGCTTTCGGATGGTTTTTACTACCATTTATGAGCATTGTTTTATGCATACATGTTTTACAAATGTTTTCACAGCATGCTAGAGTTTTTAGAAAACTTATTATGTAGTACTATATATATGTTTTCAAAACAAGGGGTTAGTATGTTCATGAAGAAAATGATTCTCTTATTATTAGTATTATTATAAACTTTGGTCCACTCATATTTTCTGTTTTTGCACCCCCTCATGAGTTATAATCGTGGCACACAGTCCCGGAGTTAGGGCAATTCCACGTAGGGATCTTCGAGTCTTCTCTGTGTGGTACTGATTTCTTGGTTCGTACCTTTTTATAATTATCCTTTCCTATTATTCTTAATTAGTTGTATGCTCTGAACACGTCTCTGCATTAGCATATCCCTTTCTAATCACATAATTTAATTCTCATGCATGTTTTAAATGACTTCGTCATCCTCGGATGTCGGCCAACATGTACCATCCTGATATTAAAGAGATATTAGGATTGAGGCGTGCCAGAAGTGATGTTTACAATTGAACGTGATTGACCAATGTCTAGTTTACTAGGGTTGGTTTTACTTTTGTCCTAATCTACACGAGTCTTCAAAGCCTAAAGAATTGAAATAGTAAAAGTGAAGGAAATTTGTCAAGGAACCTATAACTTGGTTAAGTAAGAATATTTATCTTTACTTTGATGCTTATATCAAAAGACAAGTGAACAAAATGAGAGTATAATGAGAAGGAAATTCTAGATATGCTAAAAGCCAATAAAAATACGAGTCATTCAATAGTGTTTTGACTGTTTTGCTCTCATTTTACTGCTTTTTCCTCTTATTTTTTTAAGTGCTGATGTTTCTATCCCATTGTCTTATCCCTCTATTTACTTTGATATAATATCTTTTTTACCAAATTGCAATAAAATTCATCAAAAACTAGAATTTAGATCAATAGACGAAGTAAGATTCAAGTTTGGTAATGAACGGGGGTGAAAGCTAGCTCAAAAATATATTATTACAGACAAGGCGAGTCCTAGTGACTCTTAACATATCATCAAATAAACAAATCTTAATTCATTTAGACGGATTTTCAAAATATTAATATCCAAGATTCATAATATAGCTCCAATTAACAAAGCCATCCGCAATCATGTTTTTCTCCTAATACACATGAATCAATTCACAACCTCCAATCCGTCTCATAAACTGTCTGTAGTAATCAATATGTTGCCAAGAGGGTGAAAACCGGTATTAGTCATATCAGTGACTAGATGAACCATCAAGGCCACATCCATCTCAAAACACTAAGTTTGAAATTAGTATCACACATCAAATATCAGAATACTTCCCCCATGAGGAGTAGTTAGTGTATTTTATTTTCAATCGTCGAATCAGATGAATTGAGAAAGAATAATGAAAAATTAACAAAAATATGTGAAAAGTAAAAATAAGTGTTTCTTTTAGGTTTCGTGTGCGTGCGTTTATTCCACTACGAGAGTCAACGTCGTTTTTCTGTCTTACGACCGAAACCGCCTCAATCTTTATGTCGTTTTTTATCCAACCGAACCACCTCTCTACCTCCTTGTCCAAAACGCATAAACCAAATAAAATCTCACTTCACTCGACGTTTCCAACTCTGCAATCCACCCCGTAAAGTCTCCTCCGAACGCCAACGGCGAAGAAGCTCCGCTAGCACTATCAAACGACCCCGTTCAATCGGACGCAGGGAACCAAACCAGACCTAGACCTAGGGTTTCGAATCCCAATCCGCCACCGTAGATCATGGAGGAGGAGCACGAGTACGACGATCAGCAGTACATGGAGGACGACGACGAAGACGAAATCACGCAGGAGGACGCGTGGGCCGTCATCTCCGCTTACTTCGAGGAGAAGGGCTTGGTGCGCCAGCAGCTCGACTCGTTCGACGAGTTCATTCAGAACACAATGCAGGAGATTGTCGACGAGTCTGCCGATATTGAGATTCGGCCTGAGTCGCAGCACAACCCTGGGCACCAGCCCGATTTCGCCGAGGTAGGGTTTCCTCCCGGGAAATTATGGGTGTGAAATTGCCTGCGTTTTCTCTAGTGAAACAAACAGGGGTTTTAGGGCTGGTTTTGCCAATGGGTTTTAGGGCTGGTTTTGCCAATGGTAGAACTTCTATTAAATGGTATTGTTGTTAACGAATTCAAGCTTCCTAATTTTTGTAGTTTTAGGGGTTATACTTGGTGCACAAAACCACAAACTTATAAGCAATTGGGAGCTAGGGTTTTATTCTCACAGAGTCACAGTTGATTTCTTCGTTATGAAACGAAAGGAGAATTTGAAGCATTCTTTGGAGCTTTAATACTGTTGTATTCAAGCAAATGGTATCGTCATTAAATAATCCGAGCTTTGTAGTTTCGATGAATTTAAGGGTAATAGTTGGTGCAAAAAACTAAAATTGGATAAGCAATTGGGAGCTAGGATATCTTTATGCCAGTTAATTATTTAGTACAAAATGAAAGTAGAATTTGGAGCATTTGTCATGGTTATGTTGTTTGGAGCTTTAACACTGTTGGGTTGGATTACAGACTGTATGCAAGATTAGCTTTGGTCAGATTTATTTGAGTAAGCCCATGATGACCGAATCTGATGGAGAAACTGCAACCTTATTTCCCAAAGCTGCAAGGCTGAGAAATCTGACGTACTCAGCACCCTTGTATGTGGATGTCTCAAAGAGGATGATAAAGAAAGGACACGATGGCGAAGAACTCACCGAGACCCAGGATTTCACCAAAGTATTCATTGGGAAGGTGTGTAATGTGATTATTTCAATAACGATGGATGAGTTTAACACTGCCAGTCAACAACTTGGTTGAATTTGTTTTGTTGCGTATTATCAGGTTCCTATAATGCTTCGGTCTAGTTATTGCACACTGTACCAGAATTCAGAGAAAGATTTAACTGAGCTGGGAGAGTGTCCATACGATCAAGGTGGATATTTTATTATAAATGGGAGTGAAAAGGTTCTTATTGCTCAAGAGAAGATGAGTACCAATCATGTCTATGTGTTCAAGAAGAGGCAGCCGAACAAGTATGCCTATGTGGCTGAAGTTCGGTCTATGGCGGAGTCTCAAAACAGGCCGCCCAGTACCATGTTTGTTCGGATGCTTGCCCGGACTAGTTCTAAAGGGGTAATGAAACTGATTGTGGCAGTATTGTTTATTTTTGTCCATGTAGTGTCTGCTTTTTGTTTTCATTTTGTTTGTTTGCATTTGTATTATTGCAGGGTTCTTCGGGACAGTATATCAAAGCTACACTTCCTTATATTAAAGGGGAAATTCCTATTATTATCGTTTTCCGGGCTCTTGGGTTTGTTGCCGATAAAGACATCCTCGAGCACATATGTTATGACTTTTCTGATACTCAAATGATGGAGTTGCTCAGACCTTCTTTGGAAGAAGCATTTGTGATTCAGAATCAACAGGTGTTTTATCTATTTCATGGTTTGATATCTACAAGTTTCTCAAATTCTTTTTAGCATGTGGCTTATTATTCTATTTTCTGCTACAGGTTGCACTAGATTATATTGGAAAGAGAGGTGCAAATGTTGGTGTAAGTAGAGACAAGAGAATCAAGTATGCGAAAGAGATTCTACAAAAGGAAATGCTTCCACACGTTGGTGTTGGAGAATTTTGTGAGACAAAGAAAGCTTACTATTTTGGGTAGGTTTTTAGGATATGCATTAGCATCCAGTTGGATTTTGAATTGTTAACTAAATATGCATTTGCGCTTGTTCCAGATATATCGTTCACAGGCTTCTACTCTGTGCACTTGGTCGGAGGCCAGAGGATGACAGGGATCATTATGGTAACAAGCGGCTTGATCTTGCTGGTCCCTTACTTGGAGGCTTGTTTAGAAATGTATGTGTTTTTAGTGGAAGTTAGAGGTTGTATGAATTTTTACCATTATGTTGTTGACCATGGAACTGTTTATGTAATCGCAGCTATTCAGGAAGTTGACTAAGGATGTGAGAGCTTATGCACAGAAGGTTATTTACATGAACCCTGAATTTATTAGATTTCTATTTTATTTGGGTTTTTACTTACATATTTAATGCATGTTGCAGTGTGTTGACAATGGAAAGGATCTTAATCTGCAATTTGCCATCAAAGCTAAAACCATCACGAGTGGCCTCAAATATTCACTTGCCACTGGAAACTGGGGACAAGCAAATGCAGCTGGTACAAGGG